CACTGTCGGAGGGTCGGTGCTGAGGGAGGGGGGCACTGTCGGAGGGTCAGCGCTGAGGGAGTGGGCACTGTCGGAGGGTCGGTGCTGAGGGAGCGCCGCACTGTCGGACGTGACGTCACGTGGGTGAGATGTTAAATGAAATCCCCCTGTTGCTGTGATGGGTGGGAGAAGATACCAATTGCACTATTTGAGGAAGAACAGGTTTCCTGGAAAAATTAGTCCCTCGGCAAGCTTTGCATAAACCGGCTGGCTGCTGTTATTTAATCACATGACTTTGTGGAAGCTTTCTGTGCGCTAATTGGCTGCTGTTCCCTACCGGACCAGTTCTTTCAGGAACGGAATCTACCCGCCTTAGCTGATCTGGCCTACATGTGACTCCACACCAGCAGCGTAACTACCTTCTGTAACGGCCTATGTAGGAGGTCAGTTCAAGGGCAAGTCGGCATTGGTATCCAGGGCTTTTTCTGCCATTGCCCCACCCCCCCAACCCTGACTCCGCCCTGCCCCACCCACATCTCTTTAATGAATTAAGCAAAAAATTCCAAATGGTGATATTTCCATTGGGACCTGGTTGGTCATAAAGTGCTTTGAGTTGTTCAGAGGTGTTGTAAGCACTTTCATCAAAATGTGGATTGTTCTTTTTTTGACACAGCCCGTTTTGTGTGTTGTGGTGGATTCTGTTCATCCAAGCTCCGTGTTCCCAGCCAGAGACACAGGAAATGTCTCACTATAATACCACATTTATCAGTCTCGGCAGTGAGATCAGAGCTAATCCTCATCCTGCCTGCATTCCATGTTCCCACTGGGACCTTGCTCGTGATTGCATCACCGACCCGAGTCCTCCTGCACAAGGCTTGGGAATTGTCTGTTCAGGATCGGAATTCTCATTCTAAACTGTTGCAGGATGTAGCTGTAGAGACTGTTGTCTCTAATGCGTATTTTCATGGCACCAGGAACACGAGACTTTGCTGACACGTTGGCAGAATAAAAACATGGAGAATATAGTTGAGTTGCACAACAAATCTCCCGTCTGGAATGAAGACACTCAGTCTTATGTCCTTAACTTCCATGGGCGTGTGACACAGGCTTCTGTGAAGAATTTCCAAATCATCCATTCCAATGACTGTAAGTAACGGCCTCGGCACTCTGGGATCACCTGACACCTTTACTTTTAGACAGTGAAATCTGGGTGAAAGGTCAATGATCTAGGTGAAGGGTCAACGACCTGGGTGAAGGGTCAATGGTATGAGTGAAATCTGGGTGAAAGGTCATTGCTCTGCGTGAAATCTGGGTTAAAGGTCAATGATCTGGGTGAAGGGTGAATGGCCTGGGTGTGGCCTACTCTGGGCCGGAGAGGTTACTCCAGGTGATTGAGCTTCTATGACTATTACGAGGGGGCATAATTTTAAGGTGATTGGAGGAAGGTATAGGGGAGATGTCAGAGATAGGTTCTTTACACAGAGAGTGGTGGGTGTGTGGAATGTGCTGCCAGCGGTGGTAGCGGAGTCAGATATTTTAAAGACTGTTAAGCAACTCTTGGATAGGCACATGGAGGATAGTAAAATGTAGGGTATGCAGGGTAGACCGATCTTAATAGGATAATAGGTCGACACAACATTGTGGGCCAAAGGGCCTGTACTGTTCTATGTTCTATGTTCTATGAGATCTCAGTATCAAATGGGCAAGCAGATGCTTTCTTGGACTTTGGTTCTGGGTTCAAGATGATTTAAAGATTTCAGGGAATTGGGGAGGGCAAACAGGATGAGAAATAGATATATTTTTGATCAACCTGTTTAGAGATGTTATGACACACATCTTTGGAACAGGTGGGACTTGAATCTGGGACACCTGGCTGAGAGGCAGGGTCATTTTCTCCTGCATCAAAGTTGATGCTAAATACGATGTTTGTGGATGAATGAACAAAATGTCTCCTCTCTCTCTCTCTCTCTCTCTGTTTCTGTTTCTTTCAGCTGATTACATTATCATGCAGTTTGGCCGAGTGGCTGATGACATCTTCACTATGGATTATAACTACCCGATGTGTCCCATTCAGGCCTTTGCCGTGGCCCTCTCTAGTTTTGACAGTAAACTGGCATGTGAGTAGATTCTCACACGCCGCCAGCGGACAGGAACTGGACAAGATCAATCTTTGAATTTCCACAAGACCAGGAAAGTAGGAGAAGATACAAGCACAGGAGCTGTATAATAGAGAGATCCAGGAATATTCTGCAGATTTATCAGAATCTCTGACCCTAAACCTGAGACAATGTTTGAAAAACGTCAGAAATTGGGGCAGGTTTAATGAATATTCATGTTAAATGCTTGTGCCGTGAACTTCTGTGTACCTTGTCTATGGCATTATCCAAATGTTTGTACAATGTTTTCTCACAATCAGGTATTATTGATCCTCTACCACATTATGCAATAACTAGACAGGTTGTAAATGTTTGGTTTAATCAGGAATATGATGATAATGTCAAAATGGGTGAGGAGCTGCATCAGGCAAGAGCAGTAAACTCTTTGGTAAGTTTCTCCAAAATTTAGTATGTGGAACTGGTACATGCACACAGTTTAGAGTCCCAGAGTGATATAGCACAGAGGCCATTCATCCCATAGTGTCAGTCCTGGAACCAGCCAGAATATCTTTTCTGCCGGTTGCTATGGTGTTTTACGCCTGCCTGAGAAAGGCTGCACTTTTCCATTTATTTAATCTTGTCCTCTACAGATTCTTAAATCCATACCCTGGTCTCTGCTGCCTCTGAAACAATTGAAACATTTTCTATTGTTCAAAGACATCATCGTGGCCGGCCCATGGTGAATTTTTTTAAAATCTCAGGTCAAAACTTTTGTCCATCTCATTCCAACAGCGAATGTTCAGAGGCTGGTGAGGGAACTCTGGCCCAGACCTATTTGACTGGAAAATATCCCATTCCTCATCTTTGAAATGCTGACCACAAGAAGCAGAATCACATCAAATGTCTTCAACAAAATCCAATCGAATCAGAGTTAACGACAATCCCCAACTAAACCTCCATCCAAATCACATTGCATCAAACCCAGCCCCAGGTAAACGAAGCTCCATTTCCCCTCAGGAATGTTGGGAGGATTTCAGGGAAGGGGACTGGGTGGTTTTACAGAAATTCCTTTATTTCTTTGCCAGCGTTTGTTTTGTATCAACTGCCTTCACTTTCACATCTTCCCTGCCCCTTACTGGGGTGAATTTGATCACTGCAGGAATGGGCTAAAATGGGATGGGAATGGGGTTAGTGAGAATGGAAGAAGAATGGAGGATGGCTGATGGGAGGTTGTGGGGAATGGGAGGGTGGAGAAGGGGGTGGTGGTTAGTGCGGTGTGGGGGAGAGGAAAGTGAGGGATAGGGGTGTGAAGTGGGGAATGGGAGGGGGAAGTGGGCATATGGGATGGGAGGATGGAATGTGAGGGAGTGGGAGGGGTAAGAGAAGGGGGGACAGGTGGTGGGGGGAGTGAGAGATTACAGAGGGAGGGAAGAAGAGGATGGGAGGGAGATTGTGGAGGATGGGTGAGTGGGATAAGTGGGGGAGTGGGGAATGGAGAATGGGGGAGCAGGGGAGAGTGGGGGATGGGGAGAATGGAAGGGGGCAGATTGTGGGGTCTGGGAAAGAGGGGAGAGTGGACAGTGGCATTACTAAGCTCCCACAAACCAACATCAAAATCATTGGCAACTTCAGGCTGAAAATGTCTGTCTACTCAATATGTTTCTTGAAAGCAGGTTGCAGGTTCATTAATTTATTAACCACACTCAGTGATTGGTCTAATCTGTTCTTTAACTGTCCACCTTCCCTGCTTTCCCCCAGTGCTATAGTTTATTGTCTGGATGATGCTGTTAGCTGAGAGCAGCCTGTTGTAACGGTTCATTACCCTCAGTCTTAATCAGGAGGAAGATAATTCAGGGACACATTCGAAATCAAAACCTTCCACCTTTCCAATGACACGCCATGAACACAGCAATAGGTTTCTGATTGTGCTGTTTGATACCTGTCGCTTCTCATCAACCCACTGCCCAATAATAATCTGGTTGTGACAAGCCAATGAACTTGTGTCATGTTTAAACATTGTCCAACGGCCTGGGACCAATCTGATCCCACAGACAGGAAGTCGACCTGACAATGGGGATGAGTCAAGGATGTGTGGGTGGGGAAAATGTGTGGGTTGGAGGCTCAAGTGGGTGGGGACGTGTGGATGGGGATTGCATGGGTGGGGGTTGTGTGGGTGGGAATTGTGTGGGTGGAGATTGTTGTTGGTGGGGAAATGTGTGGATGGGGAACTGTGTGGGTAGGGGTTTGTGGGTGGGTGTTCGTGTGGGTGAGGATTGTGTGGGTAGGGAATTGTGTGGGTGGGGACATGTGGGTCAGGGTTTTGAGGTTGGGGGATTGTGTCGGTGGGGAAGTGTGTCGGTGGGGATTGTATGGGTAGGGGATGGGATTTCTCAGCCTCAGGGAGCAGTGATTTGGTTGAATTATTGTCAGTCCTTCTCTCTGTTCCTGGGTTTCAGGACCAGCCTCTATCTCTGGGATTGACACCTCGACCAGTCCCTGGAGGGTGATGCCCAGAAGGCAGATGCTGGTTGAGTTTAAATTGACCCTGAGGCCTCAATCCCCCTCAACATGGGCCAGATTGAAACTCAAATACCTGAGGCTGGGAGATGATTCCTTTTTGAAAAGTCAATTCAACTGAGGGATGTAAATCGATGTAGAAACTATGGACATGTCACGAGAGAAACAACTTGGACACAAGGACCCAGAGAAAGTGATTCCTGTAGCTGCTCCGATTCCTGACCTTGGAGTTTAGCTCATCCAACATTTCATACCACGTGATGTCCGACAAGGGGCAGGATGTTACTCCCCAGGACTGAGGTGGTCTTCCATACCTTCACTGGAATATAAATTCACAACTACCCAGATCTCACCAATGAACTATTAGCCTTGAGCAGATATCTGAATTTTACAGGAACGTTAAGTGAAATTAAACTAGGATGAATTTATTCTTAAGCCCCCTTTAAAGGTACCAATTTTAGAGCTGTGCAAACTGAAATATCTATTAGACAAACTAAAATAAACTACATGTCATAGTTGAGCCTACAGCTGTGTCACAGTAGGCCTGCCCACAGGTTGAAGTGGGTCACTGTCTCTCTCGATGACTGCTCTCAATTGGCAGGACATTGAGCCATAAACCAGATCGATACAAACCTCATTGATAACATGTACAAAGCAATCTGAATAATTGCACTGCCAATGCATTAATGAGTCAGGAATTTACTTTAAATATTCTGGGTTGAGTTATTTACAGGGAGGCCCGTGGCCCGTGTCAGTGGTGCCCAGGACAAGGGCAGGCGATAAGATAGTGATTGTGATGCTCACAGTCAGGACTGGGGAGTGACCTTTTCCTTCACACCTTTTTCTGTTCCCGATGTTTCTTCTCTTCCTCTTCAGCCTTTTTCATCCACAGAATTATTTCAGCTCTTCTCTGCTCCTCTGAAACGCAGCTTTTCGTCATCAAGTCAGCCATATCTTTCGGTCTCGTCCTTTTTATTGTTGTCTGCTCTTTGGAATATTTCTCATCTTGTGCCGGCGCGTTCTTCCCTTTCTTCCGTCCATCCTTCTCTTTCCTCTTCTCCTTTCCCTTTTTCAGAGTTTCCTGAGGAAGGTTCTGGGGGTTGTCACTTACTGTCCAATCTGTGCCAGTGACTCCCTCCCCATCCCCCTGTCTCTGATCAGCAGGAGAGGTATGGTCCTGTGTCAAAGGCTCAGGTTCTATCCAGAGACACAAATAATCAGATGAACAAACTATTTGTCACATTATTCTACATAAAGCTCACATTCCGATGGAGAAAAATATCTAAAGCAATTCAAAGGAGCGATTATCAAATAAAAATTGGCAACCAGAACTACAATGTGATACTGAGATCAGTCGTGATGGCGGGTGGGGGTGGTTTAAGGAATCGCAATGAGGGAGGGGGGAGTTCCAGATAGAGATCCAGAGCTCAGAGCCCAGGCAGCTGCAAATCCCACCGACGCTGGAGCGATAGGGACCAGGAACACAGCATTAACCAGATCTAGACTGAAGGAGTTTGCAGCGATAAGGAAGTGGTCAAAATAACGGATTAATGTGTAAAGAAAGATAATTTCGAAGTTAACAAGGTGTAGAGCTGGATGAACACAGCGGGCCAAGCAGCATCAGAGGAGCAGGAAGGCTGACGTTTCGGTTCTGGACCCTTCTTCATGTTTATCTCAGATTCTCCAGCACCGGCAGTTCCTACTATCTCTAATTTCAAAGTTGAAGTGTTTGCAGAGAGGGAGACAAAGTAGGCCGGGTTGGGGGACGGGTGATGTACTGCTAAACGGGACCTAATGAGAGATAAAGCACAGACAGTACACGCAGCATCATAGCCTCTCTGCTCCTATGATGCTGCTTGGCCTGCTGTGTTCATCCAGCCCTGCACCTTGTTGTCTCGGATTCTCCAGCATCTGCAGTTCCTACTATCACAGACAGTACAGTTGTGAATGAGCCGAAACAAGGGAGGAATGTGTCAGGCCAGTCAGAATTGGTTTGGAATTGTCAGGCCAGGACGAACAAAGTTGGGGTTTTCAGCAGCCGATCAGCTGAAACAGAGCTGGGCTTTCAGTTAGAGTGCAGATGTGTAATCAGGAGCTCACTTAAAGCTCAAATATGGAATGGAGATTGTCAATAGTTTGGTTATTCCTCAGAATTTTGTGACTGTCAGGGCCCAGCATTTATTCCCTGTTCCTAGTTGCCCCTTGAGAAGTTGGGGGTGAGCTGCCTTCTTGAACTGCTGCAGTCCACCTGCTGTGGGTTGACCCACAATGTCCTTAGGGAAGGAATTCCAGATTTTGACCCAGTGACACTGAAGGGACAGCAATATATTTCCAAGTCAGAACGTGCGTGGCTTGGAGGGAAACTTGCAGGGGAGGTGGGGGTTGGGGGGGTGGTAGTGGTAGTACTCCCATGTATCTGCTGCCCTTGTCCTTCTAGCTGGAAGTGGTTGTGGGTTTGGAAGGTGCTGTCTGAGGATTTTGGGTGAATCTCTGCAGTGTGTTTTGTAGATAGTACACACTGCTGCTACTGAGAGTCAGTGGTGGAAGAAGTGGATGTTTGTGGTGCCAATCAAGTGGGGCCTGCTTTGTCCTCGTAGAATCCCTACAGTGTGGAAACAGGCCCTTTGGCCCAACAAGCCCACACTGACCCTCAGAGAGAATCCCACCCAGACCCGTCCCTATAACCCCCCTAAACTACACATCCCTGAACTCTACAGGCAATTTAACATGGCCAATCCACCTAACCTGCACATCTTTGGATTATGGGAGGAAACCCATGCAGACATGGGGAGAATGTGCAAACTCCACACAGACAGTCACCCGAAGCTGGAATCGAACCCGGATCCCTGGCACTGTGAGGTAGCAGTGCTAACCACTGAGCCTCTGTGCTGCCCCTCCTGGATGGTGTCAAGCTTCTTGAGTGTTGTTGGAGCTGCACTCATCAGGCAAATGGGGAGTATTCCATCACACTCCTAACATTTGCCTTGTAGATAGTGGACAGGCTTTGGGGAGTTGGGAGGTGAGTTACTCGCTGCAGGAGTCCTAGCTGCTGTCCTGCTCTTGTAGCCACAGTATTTATGTGGCTAGTCCATTAATTACTGATAAACAGAAACATACTGCTTTGGGAGGGGATGGATGGTGCTAAGAACTAGAAACAGAAATGAATTCAGTTTCTCATTTGGAGGCAGCTTTTCTTTACAATTCTTTTAAAATAAATTGATGGTAATTTGAGAACAGGGAGTGGGATTTCAGTAAAGGACACTTTCTGGAGGTGTTAGTCCAGATTGAGAGTATGGTTCCCATCAGGATATCTTAAACTGACACTTCCCCAATTTAAACGAGAAATCATTTTGTCAGAAGTAACAGAATCAGAAAATACAGAAACAGAAGGTTTTAAATGTATACAGGGAAGGGCTACCTTCTAAATAGAAAACCCCAGAATCGATATATGTGGTGAAGGGTGGCCTGGCATCGTTTGGTGAATATCGACAGGTCACTGTGACAGGGAGCTGTGTCCAAGATCCTTGCCTGGAAATCAATCCCTCCTCTTCTGGAAGACAAGTTTAAAATATAAAAAATATTGTAAATAATAAACAGTGCAAACAAATATATCACATAACATCAAATGACTTTGACACCGATAAATACATTCCGCAGTTTTGCATTAACAGTTAAATTCTTAAATCTAATAGGAAAACCCCTCATCTGAGCCAAGCTGGGAGATGGCAAATGCACTGTGACTGAGCCTTGACTCAGTGACCTGAGTAAGATACGAAACGTCCCCTGGTTCAGGGTGGGAGGTGGGAGGATGCGGGGAACAGTGAGTGAGTGAGGGAGTGAGTTACCTGTGTCTATATATGTACAATGTCAGGTGAAACTCTGACGCACCCCATGCCTAAAGAGATATCTTATTCTCACTTCCTCAGGCACTGCTGAAGAAAAAACATCATTAAATCAAACAGTAGCAAATTTCAACTGGTTTGGGGTCCAGGGAGAAATGAAAACTTATTTACATTTGTTTTACACTGCAATCACTCCTTGAGAGTTACAGATTCATTCTACCATCTGTCTCTATCCCCCCTTTCCTTTTCAATCTCTCCTGACTGTCTGCCTAGCTGCCACATCCTCTACTCAGCTGTTTCTTTGTTCCCCTGAATGGCCTCCTCCTGCTCGTATATCTGATGGCTTTCGGCATTTCTGCAGGATCTGGGCCATTATTGTACTTCCCTGAATTAGTTGAAATGAGCTCACCCTCACTGCCTTCCCACAAACTCTTCTCCGTCAAAACATTCAGAATGTTCCCTCCTTTGGGATCCTTCATCCAATCTCCACATTCCCATTCATCTCTCTGTGGACAACCTCTCTCTCGGTGTGATCCTTTCTGAATGGGGATAGAAAAGAAATCCTTTCCATTTATTTTACGAACAATCCTGTCAGATTCTGCAATGATTTTCATATGAACTACTTACATTACATTTCAAAACTACTTCATTAGCTATTCAGTATTTTGAAATAGAAACAGAAATTGCTGGAGAAATTCAGCACGTCTGGCAGCATCTTTGGAGAGAGAAATGGAGTTAATGACTGATCCAGTGATCCTTCTTCAGAAAGGAAGTATTTTGGGATGTTTGGAGCTGGAAAAGATGCTAAACAAATGCAAACCTTTCTTAACGCCACAAATACTGACATAGCCAGAAAAAGAATCATAATTCAGTGATTAGCTCTTAGAATAACCCAGTAAAGGTAATCAGAAATAAAAACAGAAAGCAGAGTTAACGGTTCAGGTCCAGTGAACCTCCGTTCTGAAGAAGTGTCACTGGACCCAAAACATTAACTCTGTTTCTCTCTCCCCTAATGCTGCCAGACCTGCTGAGTTTCTCCAGCAATTTCTGTTTTTGTTTCTGATTTCCAGAATTTTTAGTTCAGTAAAGGTAATAATTCCTCATAAATGTCCTCATCAAACTGTCTTTCCTGGAGAGAGAGCCAGAGACACAAACCCAGTCTCCCCGCACCCACTTATAGATTGAGAGGAGGGGTTTCAGCTAGTTATTTCAGTCTGAACTTTAACCTAAACTCCTCACTCCATCAGGAACATAGGAACAGGAACAGACCACTCAGTCCCTCGAGCTTGTTCCAGCATTCAATGAGATCATGGCTGATCTGTATCCTATTCCTGCCTTTGGCCCATATTCCTTAACACCTTTTTGCTTGAAAATATCAAGTTCAGATTTAAAATTTACACCGATCCAGCACCCAACTGCTGTTTGTGGAAGAGAGCTCCAAATCTCTCCCACCCTTTTGTGTAGAAGTGTTTTGGTCCTTATTCTCAGATTATGCCCCCTAGCCGTAGACTACCCTACCAGCGGAAATAGCCTATATATCTCGACTAATCCTGTTAGCCCTCCCCACAGACACCACCCATCCCGCGTGTCACTGTCCAGGAGCAATTCAGATTTATTTCTATAGAAGTAAAGTGATGAAAGGGTTACCGGAATCTTCGAGTGGGGGGTGGATCTTTGAGGTCCAGCTGGCTCCTTGCTCGGAGAGTGTTTGCTATGTGCCTCTTCCTTGAGCAGGTGGACAACCTTCACCCATTGCTCAAAGACTTCCTGCTCGCAATCTGGCTGCACGTACAGCTGCAGGTAAAAGCTACGGCCGCTGGCCAGGGTCACTTTTAACCTGTGCTTCTGTTTGTGAAATATGGAAAGTTTCACCAGTTTCAGAGGAAGGAGGCTGTTGGTAAACAGTGTAAGAAATTACTGTCACTTATAACACAGCACTCCCTCATCTCTAGCCATTGTAAAATGCCCTAGAAATTAACTTCTCCCTGCCAGCTCTTTCAGTCAGGGTGAAAGGGGCAATGCTGTAGAAACACCATCCACTCCCAGCTCCATCTACAACACAACACCATTCCACCTTGGGCACACGGTCCATTAGCATTCCCCCAGTGCCCTCAGATCGTGTGGCAATTCAGAAAAGCTGAAAGAGCCCAGTGCTGTTCAAATTATTCTGAATAAATTCTCACCCCTTCAGCTCCAGGTGATGTCTTGGTGTAAAGTCAGTATCTGAGGGTGATGGCTGTGATCGAGCAGTTTCTGAACACCAGGAATTTGTTGGGGATGAGGCCGAGGAGGACCACAAATATCTGGCTGAGCTCTTTCCGAACAGAGGATCCGAGGACAAGGCGGAACTCTGGCTGCTTAGCTCCCAGGCAGCTGGCTGTTCACTGGGTCTAGCTAGGAGCATCACATCAGGGAGCTGGAGATCAGGGTTGGTAGATGTCAGTCCAATGGTCACGATGGACACGTGGTGGTGAATATTGATCACTTGACCCTTTTTTGTGATCTGCCAAACAGAGAAAGCTGCAGATCAATGAGAGTAGGACACTACTATTCACTAACAGATGACTCATTGTCTCTCAGTCTCCAAATCACAGAGGAATATAGACCCTAGGTTCAATATAAATTCACTCCAATAATGGCTGCTCTCTTTGCCCAACATTGTTTACCTTTTCCCTGTTTGATACGACTGTTACTGGGAATGTTTCAGTCAATATCCTTAGAACTACCTCAATGCAAACATTCCCCAGGTGAGGACAGAAATTCACATTAAAAGAAATGGAGAAATAGAAGAAAGAGAGAAACAAGCTCTAAAACTCCAATAGAAAAATCACAAGATGTAAAGAAATCAGCAAAAGAAAAGGGGAGAGAGAATTTTAAAAAATATTTTCTAATCAACCTGTTCAGAGATGCTATGACCCACTTCTGGAGCTGGTGGGAGTTGAATCCAGGCTGCCTAGGTCAGAGGTAGGGACAGTATCACTGCACCACAAGACTTGATTGAGGTGTGTGAGAATATGAACAATTGAATAATCACGTAGAAAAACAGACAGAAGAAACTGGCACCAGTTGGCAGCCAGTCTTCATGGAGCAAGGAGTCACCTCTGACTTGTTCAGAATCAATGGGTTTGGTGATGGTGGATACTTCTGTTTGTTAAAACATCTGTATCTGTCAAGTTCGGTAGAGATTTGAATAATATGGTTTTGAAATCAGGGCATGTTGTGGTTGAGTACTTTATTATGTAACTTTGAGGAAGCAGGAGGAATTAGAATCCCTAGAGTGTGGAAGCAGGCCATTCGGCCCATCGAGTCCACACTGACCCTCCAAAGAGCAACTTGCCCAGACACTCCCCATTACCCTATCCCTGTAATCCTGCATTTCCCATGGCTAGCCCACCTAGTCTACACATCTTTGGACTGTAGAAGGGAACTGGAGCACTTGGCGGAAACTCACATAAACACAGGGAGAACATGCAAACTGCACACAGATACAGTCATGGAATCAAACGCAGGTCCCTGGCACAGTGAGGCGACAGTGCTAACCACTGAGCACCTGGCACCCCCAAAATGCCATTAATGTCTTTCATAGGAATATTTGAAAGTCACACAGGCGGGCGAACTGGTCAATTTAATGGAGATGATATGAAAGCAAATAACTTGCAGAAGGTGACTGATTAAAGGACAGAGCTTCAACGGCTGAGCGAGTCGCTGAGAAACCAGCCCATGACTTTTAGGTTGGCAGCTTCCATCACAGCAACCCATTCTGCAGGAACAAACCCAGCTCCAGGTTCAACTACACAGAAAGTAAAGAGAAAACAGAAGTAGCACATGCTGACATGAACGGCCCGGGAATAATTAGTGAGACGATTGTTTGAATATTCAGTCTTACTTGTATGAAATCACTCTCAAAGACTGGAGCTCTTTTAAAGAGTAGGTATTCGCCGTTGTAGAGATATTTCTGCAGTTGGCCTGTCAGTGAGTCCGGCATTACTCCGACCTGATCTCCCAGCGCGGTGGGATCGATGTAGGACCGCCTGGAATCCATGCAGAAACGCCTTTAGAATACTTTACCGTTCAGTGTTCAACTCCACACAGTCCTGTCAAACAACAATTCAAGCTTCCTCTGACTAATATTCATAAAATATGTCACCATTTTCTACATATGAAACAGGTAACCTAGCATTTTGAGGGAGGGTCACTGGACCCGAAATGCTATAACTCACATTTCTCTTCACAGATGCTGCCAGAACTTTTAGCAACTTCTTTTTTTGAACCTAGTATTTTATTCATTCCCAGCGTGTGACCGTCGCTGGCTGGCCCTGCATTTATTGCCTATCCCTAGTTGCCCCTTGAACTGCTTCAGTCCACCTGCTGTCGATTGACCCACAATGAACTTAAGGAAGGAATTCCAGGATTTTGACTAAGCGCAGTGAAGCAACAACAATATATTTCCAAGTCAGGACGTGAGTGGCTTGGAGGGGAACTTGCATGTTCACATTGCATCTGCTGCCTTTCTCCTTCTAGATGGAGGTGGCCGTGGTTTTGGAAGGTGCTGTCTAAGGATCTCTGGTGAATTTCTGCAGTGCATCTTGTAGTTAGCACACACTGCTGCTACTGAGTGTCGGTGGTGGAGGGAGTGGATACTTGTGGATGTAGTGCCAATCAAGTGGTCTGCTTTGTCCTGGATGGTGTCAACCTTCTTGAGTGTTAATGTGGCTGCACTCATCCAGGCAAGTGGGGAGTATCCCATCACACTCCTGACTTGTGCCTTGTAGATGGTGGACACGCTTTGGGGAGTCAGGCGGTGAATTACTTGCTGCAGTATTCCTAGCCACTGACCTGCTCTTGTAGCCACTGTGTTTATGCAGCAAGTCAGATTGAGTTTCTGGTCAATGGTAACCCCAGGGTCTTGATAGTGGGAGCGTTTGGGGGCAGGGGTGGAGAGAGGGGTTCAGTGATGGTAACACCGTTGAATTTCAAAGGCCAGTGGTCAGATAGTAGATGGCCATAGCCTGGCATTTGTGTGGTGTGAATGTTACTTACCACGTCAGCCCAAGTCTGGATATTGTCCAAATATAGGAAGGATATTGTGAAACTAAGAAGGGTTCAGAAAATATTTACAAGGATGTTGCCAGGTTTGGAGGGCTTGAGCTAAACGGAGAGGCTAAATAGGCTGGGGCTGTTTTCCTGGAGTGTCAGAGGCTGAGGGGTGACTTAACAGAGATTCCTAAATCATGAGGGGCATCAATAGGGAGAATAGCCAAGGTCTTTCCCCAGGGTAGGTGTGTCCAAAACTATAGGGCATAGGTTTATGGTGAGAGGGGAAAGATTTAAAAGGGATCTAAGGGGCAACTTTTTCATACAGAAGGTGGTGAGTGTATGGAATGAGCTGCCGGAGGAAGTGGTGGAGACTGGTACAATTATAACATTTAAAAGGCATCCGGATGGGTATATGAAAAGGAAGGGTTTAGAGGGATATCGGCCAAATGCTGGCAAATGGGACTAGATCAATTCAGGATATCTGGTCAGCATGCTCGAGTTGGACAGAAGAGTCTGGTTGCGTGCCGTACATCTCTATCACTCTGTTGCATTTCAACACGGACTGTTTCAGTATCTGAGGAGTAAGTGAACACCCCCACCTCTGACCCCGTAGTAGAGGGGAAGGTGGAATTAGAGGGCTGTGGAGAGAGGGCCAGTGCGGTTAATTCGGTTCATTGAAATGACAGCACGGAAATTACAGACAAACTGAGTTCCACATTCTGACAGTCACTCGATTCGGGGCATTGCCTGTTTTTGACCTTCCACAGATACAGCCCGAGCTTACTGTTTTTGTTCCGCATTCTTCTCCCTTTGGGGCGGGGGGGGGGGGTGGAATTCCTCATTTTTATCAATGACTCATTGCCCGCCCCCTCCGAGTGAAAACATTCCGGTTGCCTCATCATCAGAATCCCAGAAAATGTCCTTGACATTGATGTCAGCGGAATATTTCCTGAAAAATCGGCACATAACAGATCGTGTGGGAGAGGGAGAGGGACAGGGAGGGAGAGGGACGGAGAGAGGGAGAGAAAGGGAGGGAGAGGGA